GTGTTTTGTTTTTCCCCCCTTTTGTTTACTTTTGGATGACAGATAACACGTTTTTACTTTTAATTTATTCACTACCACATTTCCACACTAAAATTAATCTACATCACTTGTGGCTACAAGCAACTTGCCATCTTTATTATTTCACTTTATAGCAGCTTATTTAGATCCAGATCAACTTGTCTAAATTACCCACTACATATTACTAGTAACCTACGCTGCAGCTAACGGCACAAAACAGCTAAAGGAAATATGGCATCCTGGCAGGAAACTGTTAATGGAGGTTACCCTGCCAAGATTGTAGTGTTGATATAATGCCTTTTTATATCCACATGTGCTATTTTAACCTTGAGGGTATCAACACTGGCATTTCTACTTGAAGTTGTGTATGGAGAGCAGTTTAGGTATCATGTTTATTTTTAAGTTCAGTTCTGTTACTGTAAGAAAACAAGGCCATCACATCAAGGACCCAAGGGCATCCTCTATCTGTTTCTAATCCCCACTAACTAAACTAACTAGTTTCCCATGTTCAGGGGCTAGATCCTCTGAAGGACCAGGATCATAAAGTTATGTAACCTCAGATGAAGGGTTTAACTTTTTGGTATATGGGTTTCAAGGACTTTCAAGGAACTTCTTAATTGTGGAAGTAAAAGTCATTTTCCCATAGACAATGTTACATGACTCACAGCTAGAGCCGTTCTACAGCTTGGATGGACCTGCAATTTGTACAGCAAATTTGTTACAAAATGTATTATTTGATAAAAAATTAAAGATACAAGCCTACATAAAACTTTAAGGGAGAAGTTAACTTAGACTCCCAACGGTGGGTAAGTATATTTGATCTATTTGGTCTAGAAATGTGGTCTTTGGAATGGGACACAGGCTGTGAGGAAACTCTAACTTAAGGGCCTCTGGGAAATAAATTGATCAGGAACTATATAAAATATATTTTGGGACGGTTGCGGGATGTAATCTGTCATTTTATAATTGTTTCCTCACAGCCTTTATGGTTTAAATGATAGTTTGGCACAGTTTAGAACATCTGACAAAGTGACATGTTGTAAATAGACGTCTAAGGCGGTGTTGTGGAAAGTGCTTGCATTACAAAAACTGTTGGGAAATGGATGGGCCTCACTAACTGAACACATTTGTGTAATGTGTTTCACTATGACAAACTGACAGAGAGGAACAAGTGTCCTTTTCTTTCTGTTTGCATTTAGTTAATTGGTAGCTGGGTGTGTTGGCTTACGTGTCCGCTCAATCAAGCGAACTTTGTCCATCTGTTTGTGGGACAGAGGTTGCAACACAGACTGAAGACGGATCACAGGTCCAAGGTTGTGACAACATGAACATCAACAGAACAGCTAACTGCTTGATAAACGTGTTTTTATTGTCTACTCCATGTTATGTTGGCAATGAAAGAAATAAGGATATTTTACTGTAGCTTTTATTGTCACTGTAGATAGATAACAAATGCCTAGTATAACCTTTAACCTATGTTTTGTTATTTGAAGGACATTCTTGTGAATTACCAAATGCAAGTCATTGCTACAACAATGTAGTAATATGTATTCTGGAAAACGACCTCGCAAATTAAAGTACACGTGGAAGAAAAATCCCAGTTGAAAGTAGAAATGCACAATAGCTGGTGATTTGGTCCGAAAATCGATACTGTGGTCGAATGCGGCCCAGCCGGAGCTGCAACCCCTGATATGAGTCAGAAAACATTGCAGATCCAGTCCAATGAGTTCACTTGAAAGAGAAACGTGAGGCAGCAGCGAAAAAAAGTACTTTCACCTGCTGTTCTTCCTAACAGCTCACGCTGAAGAACAGGACATGCAAGAGTGGAGCAACTCTAAACTCCCGACATGAAAATAAACACCCCCACGTGGCCCAGGCTTGGCTCCCCTGCAATATAAATCATTCAAGAGATTTTGTCGGTTCAATTCATGAAAAACCTTTCATCTCTTGCGATCTACATTATTTGTTATTTATAATTTTATTGATATACATATATTTTAGTTTTTTGTTTGTCTACAAAAAGCACTTTGCAAGTTATTAGAACCCAAGATGACATCTTCTCCAAAACCCAAAGATATTAAAATTACATTTGATATTGGGGCATCCGGTTAGCTCATCTGGTAGAGCTGGCGCCTCATGTACCGAGTTCGAATCCGACCTGTGGCCCTTTGCTGCATTTCCTCACCTCTTTTGACCCCCCTTCCTGTCTATCTTCAGCTCTCCTATCCAATAAAGGGAAAAAGCTCCAAAAACAATATTAAAAAAAATAAATAAATAGAATGATATTGGGGCTGCTGCTGTTTTTGAATAACTAAACCTACTGATTCGACGCTCATCCACATAGATCCGCATCTCTGCTCATGCTTAGAATAATTCTAGGTAATATTTTAACCCATTTATTTGTTCTTCACTAGGATTCAGTTTGCTCTGTCTGACATTGAGTATGGTCTCGACACCAACTTGAATTTAGTTTTGGATCTGATTTAAACTCAACAAAGTTTGGCCAATCTCTCAAAACTACTTAAAAGAGTTTTAAAATATATTGTGAATGTACTTTTTTAGCACTGAGATGACAAATTAAAAGATCATCTTAAGCCACCTAAAATACCCAGACTTTTTAGTCTTAGGAACTATGTTTCAAGGAACTAAAATGTCCCTTCAGTCCGTTATTGTCCACGTTTCCATTGTGGTCTTAAGAGCTGCAAAGGTTGTGCAAATTAGTCAGCTGCCGTATGAAAATGCGACGGTTTTTACATGTAATTTTAGCACGCAGCTATACAACAATGATGTTGTCATATATGTTGTCATATGCTTTTTTCTGTGACTCCATGTTGACGTGTTGAAGCACAGTGAACAAAAAAAAAGGTTTGCAGCTGCAGATTTGAAATAAAATCCTGCACGTACACAACCAAAAATGATGTTCTCTAAATTCAATTTAGGAATCCAAGTTAATCCAAAGTTTCCTAGTCTCTGGAGAAAGTTCTTGCAGTGGAAACACAGATTTAGCCGTCAGATGCTTTTGGGAAACAGGGCCCATGTTAGTTTTGTGTAATATCCTCATGTTTCTAGAATGCTAAGCAAAGCAAAAAACATGTTTTTGAAGGGGAAGAGGATCTGATCCCATATGATGATGAATTGAGAATTGAAACCCAGACCATGCATCCTCAATGCAATCTGCATTGTAAAGATTGCATCTTTTCAACTTGCAGCAACTTGTTCAGCTGACTGACACACCCTGTGTGCCAGTCAGAGCAAGTGAAGATTCTGTATATACCTAAGAGCACATAGCTCATAATTTGCAAACAAGGACTTGCTATGAATAAACAGTTTCCCTTTATGTTGATCCATATCTGTAAGTTATATGTTATTTTGCATCACAGTGTTATGTCAATACACCTTAACCCTGTTAGGATTTAGACCTTTTATAATTCTTCTCTTTGCTAAAAAAGAAACATGCTGGACCTAAGAGGAGCAGTCCATATCTGATTCTCATGTTCCGCCTATTAAGTTTATTTTTAACCATGTCTGAGAAAATATCTTTCAAATTAAAGATGCACTATCAGCAAGCACCGGACATTTTGAGATACAGCAGTTAATACTACTCTGCTGGACTGATTAGG